GCCGGCGGCCGCGAGCCCCTGCCCAGGCGGCCGGGTGTTATCAGCCCGGCTGAAATCCTGCACCGGGCGCCTGCCAGAGCAAACTATGAGCAAGCGGCGGGCACCGAGCTGGGCCGCGGCACCCGTCGAACGGCAGCCCAACCTGCGCCCATCTCTGCACATGGAGCCAAGTGGGAAGCAGCTTTTTCCCACATTCCGGATGCCCTGGGCCCAGCTGCTTCCCGGTGCATGAGATCCTTAGGGAGAAGCGGGTGCATGAGATGTTTCTGGGCACCCGTGGAGCTGCTCTGGGCCAAGCAGCCTTTTCTGCAGGCTCAGCCCCTCTCTCAGCTCGTTTTCCTCTCGCCTCCCCTGTCACATCACAGTGATGCAGCTTCACATCGCACCAAACCAGCCTCACAGGGGGATCGGGAGGGAAAACAGCCCAGCGAGTAGTTTAGCTACCAGTGTCCAACTTTTAGCCGCGTTTTTCCACCGAAAGGCTCCTTGCAGCCAAGAAGCCTTTTCTGCAGGCTCAGCCCCTCTCTCAGCTCGTTTTCCTCTCGCCTCCCCTGTCACATCACAGTGATGCAGCTTCACATCGCACCAAACCAGCCTCACAGGGGGATCGGGAGGGAAAACAGCCCAGCGAGTAGTTTAGCTACCAGTGTCCAACTTTTAGCCGCGTTTTTCCACCGAAAGGCTCCTTGCAGCCAAGAGCGCCACGCGCCCGAGTCTCAGCCCGACGCAGCCTCGGGATAAAACCCACCCTGGGGCAGCAGGGAGGTGCTGAGGTGGAGGAGCCCAGCCGGGTCGATGGTACCAGTTGGAGGCTGAGCTGAAGAGGCTGCTTGGAAGGCAGCTCCCAAGGAGGCAGGAGCCGGGGTGAGAGCTCTGGGTGTGGGAGATGCTCGGGCTTGAGGTTCCCGCATGCCCAAACTGGCGCTCGGCGCTCGGAATTCACACGTTGTCGCGCTGCTTCGGATGGCCCCTTTGCAGGAGGTGGTCCTGGCTCTGGGGTAGGAGCAGGGAGGGTTATCCCGATCCCAGTTCTGCCGAATGGGGCACATTGCCTTGGAGCTAGGAGGCTCCCGGGATGGATCAAGTGACAAATGTGGCTTGGTGCTCGCTGGGGTTGACGTTGTTTGGTGCTGTGGCCGTGGGCAAAGCGCTGTTGTGGGGCTCCTACAACTCGCTATGGGGGGAGCTTCACTCAGGCTGCTGTAAGTTGCTGTAACCAGAGGGAATGGGCTAAAAGAGCAGCTTGCAGGAGACCCCCAGTCCTGCAGGTCTGGGTTTATTTAGATGCCTTGCAGAAAGTCGCAGCTCTGGAATGTTTTTTTGCCTCGTGCACGAAAAAAAAAAAAAAAAGACATAAAAATGGGAAGAGAGGGAAAGGAAATCCCCTCGCAGGGGCATATTGCAGCCCACGAGGATGCAGATCAGCAGTGCTGCAGGCCCGTGAGGACGAGCAACGCGGGTGCCGTGGCTGGGGCTGCTGCGGGAGCCGAGCGCCGGTGCTCGGAGCATTGCCCCCTTCCCGGGACCCGCAGGGGAATTCCGGGCCGGCGGAGCCTGGCCGCTCTCCACCTGCCCTACCTGTGCCCGGCTCCTGGCTGCCCTCCCGTCACAACGCGGTCCTTGTCTCCCGCACAATGCGGCGTTTCAGCGCGAGCACCTGCGGATCCGCCGCGCTGGCCACCGCTTCCAAGGGCTCCTCTGTGCCGGGATGAGTGAAGGGCAGCCTGGCCGCCCCGCGGTGGGAGCTCCAACCTCCCTGCCCTCCCCGCAAGCCCCTCTTTGCGCTGGGATTGCTGCAGGAGCGCCCAGCACTGGGAAGGGAGGTCCGAAAAATCCCCAGGGTTGTCCAAGCCCCTGGTGCTCCCTTGGGCAATGAGGCTTTTCCAGCACTGAGTCATTCGGAGGTTCTGGTTCCATGTCCCCGCGTGCTGATGGGAAAATCCCAGAATGGTTGAGGATGGAGGGGACCTCAACAGACCATCTAGTCCAACCCCCTGCTCCAGCAGGGACACCCAGAGCATGGCGCACAGGTCGGCATCCAGGCGGGTTGGAAGATCCCCAGAGAAGGAGCCTCCACAGCCTCTCTGGGCAGCCTGTGCCAGGGCTTCGAGCAATGGGAAGTCACTAGTGGGAGCCATCAGACATGTCCCAGGCAGCCCCGGGATGCAGGACAGCCTCATCCCTGCAGGACTCCGTGTGTCTCCATCTCTCGGGTGGCTGTGCCCTGTGTCCATCTTGGACTCATCATCTTGTGCTCCTGGATGACAGGACAGATTTCATGAAGCTTGCAGATGCTTGAAGCTCTCTGGGACAAACCCTATAGTTATTCTTTTCCCATTCCACTATTAAACAAAATATTCCCTAGCTTTCCAGTGTGATGGAAGCTTAGGCTCCTCACCTGGTCTCGGCGGCAGCGTCACCAGTCTGGTCACAGCCTGGGGCCTGGGTTTCCAACACTTCCTTGTGCTGTGCACCTGGAAGAATCCCCAGAAGCTCTTGGTTTCCAACTGCTTTCCCCAAAAAAAGGCAACTAAATGTGGCCTCGTGGACTTCCCAGGTTGTTCCAGCCATGCCTCCCTATTTGGGTTAGGGAATAGCATGAGAATTTCTCAATGTCTGTGGCACCGGCCCTCTGGCTCTCCTTGGGCTTCCCCCGGGCTGGCAGCAGCTTTGCAGCAATCAGTGTCTGTGCGGTGGCTGGTGGCCCCTGGAAGCGGGAATCCCTAGGAAGGGTCTGGAGCCACCGCGGGCGCTTCCAGCACTTGCAAGCTGAGGGATCTGCACACGCGCCGCTCCGCTTCGGTGTCACCGCCAGGGCTCAGTCCCTGCCACCCTCTCGTTCCAGCCTGCTGCAGCCGGAGCCGCTGCTCCTGGCTCCTGCGGAGGCACCGAGCCGGGCACGGAGCCGCACCTGGATCCAGAAAGGCGGCCTGGAGAGGTAAGTGCGGGACAAGGTGCCGCACAGGTCCCCGCAGGAGCAGGGGGTCCAACCTGCCCCTGTTCCTGCGGGACAGCTTTGACCTCCATTGTATGTTTTTCCTCCCGCTTCTAGAGGGAAATCCTTGAAACCTGCCCCTGAGCTGCTGAGGCCCAAGCGCACCAAAGCCCAGGTAATAATTAGCAAAATGCTCTTCGTATCCGGCCTTCTCCTCGCTGGGTTCGCTCGGTTCAAGGTCTCTGCCCGGGTGGCTGCCAGGCCGGCCCCGGCGCTCGCCTGCACCGCGCGGCAGAGCTGGGGCCGACCCTGCCGGCTCCTGCGGTGCTTTCCATGGCGGATTTCGCTAGGATAACGAGTTGGCTGAGCCTCGCTGCTTTGCCTCACTCCAAGGAAAATACGAGTGAGCCAGTGCAAAGCAAAGGAAAACCTCGGTCCTAGAGGTGGCAAGGAAATGCTGGAGTCCTTAACCATGTCTGGAGGTCCCTTACATGAAAAGGACCCCGGAGCTGGTGCTAACTCTTTTCCTTGTGCAAATGCCTTGTGCTCTCCAAGTGTTTTATAACCCCTGAGCCTCCTGGCACTGCTAGGGGGCACCAAGGGCGTTTTGCACCTGGGGAAACTGAGGCACGAGGGAGTGACCCAGCAGCCAGCGGGATGGATGAGGAACGTTTCCATGTCTCCTGGTCCTCTCTTCCTTCCAGCCCAGCACTTGTCCCCGCTCCGTGGCAGCCCGAGCGAAGGCGGATCCCAAGTTTGGGGAGCTCTTCCGCTTCGACACCCCTGTGCTGATGTGGGACCAGCACTTCAGCACGGGGACCTGGGAGCGGCTGAAGGCGCGACACGTCCCCTACGGCTGGCAAGGCTTGTCCCCTGCAGGTACAGGACCTGGGGGCCACAGCGCAGGGTGGCAGCCCCAGGGGGATGGGGGAACCCAGAGGAAGGGACCAAAACTACAGGGTGGAGAAACCCTGGAGAGAAAAGCGGGGCCCTTGCTCTGCTCCCGCTCGCCTGCCAGGGAGCAGCACGGAGAGGGTGACCCTGCAGGCGCCGCTCACTGCGTCTTGTGACATTTCCCCCGCATAAAAGGCTCAGTGTCCGCGCGACTATGAACTGGGGCCCCAAGGACCTGGGACAACCCGCTCCATTGTCACCGACGGAGATTGTTTCCCTTCCTACCCCAGACCTACTCTGTGCTGCTCCAGTGCCCGCCGGCTTCAATCCTTGGATTGTGAGGGCTGGAGGGAAGCGCGGGGCAGCGGTGGGAGGAAGCCGGGGGCAGCAGCGGCTGTAAGGAGACATTGTTAGGACGGGAAAAGGCTGAAACACCCGCAGGACTGGCCAGGAGCGCTCCAGATGCCTAGTCTGGAGCTCGCTTGGAAAGGGGAGCTATGAGGGGCAAGCCCAGGATACAGGAGGGTCTGTCAAGTGACTGTTGAGAGAGGATCCAGCCTTTCTGAGGGCTGCAAAGCACTTTGGAGCTGGTGTCTGTCCATCCTACCTCACGGGTGCCCTCCCCTGCGCAAGGAGGAGCGGGACCTTCTTGTGTGCAGCCCGCAGATGTCCTCCCATGCCAGCCTACCTGCCTGTTGCCCGTGCAATGTGCTCGCTTGCCCCTCTCCCGTGCTGATCCCTTTTCTCCCGCTCGTGTCTCTGCTGATGGCTCCGTCCCGCTTCGTTCCAGCCGTCGGCAGCGCCCTCCGGCTCCTCAACACCTCCTCCAACAGGCGCCTCTTCGACAGAGCCGCCTTCCGCGGCGGCTGCGTGCGCTGCGCTGTGGTGGGCAACGGGGGCATCCTCAACGGCTCGCGCCAGGGCCACGACATCGACGCTCACGACCTGGTGTTCAGGTAGGGCAGCTCTGGCGGCTGGTTGGGGCCTGGGGCCAGGCAGGATGGGTCTGGGAGCAACTCAAACCCCAAGTGCAAATCGATGATCTTCTCCCAGCCTCGGGGCAATGACTCATTGCTGGGGCCAAGTGTTGATTTAGTCCTTGCTGAACCTTCTCGTCATTCCTGAGCCTGTCATCTCGCGACGGCATAACCAGGATGAGCTCCCATCATCCAGGAGCATTCTGCCCACGGGGGCAGTGCGGGCACAGCCGGGACACCTGGGATCCTCCCACAGGCTCAACGGCGCCGTGATCAAAGGCTTCGAGGCAGATGTTGGCACCAAGACGTCCTTCTATGGCTTCACAGTGAACACCATGAAGAACTCCCTCATTGCCTACGAGGAGTATGGCTTCACCCAGGTACCCCAGGCCAAGGTGAGATGCCCCCACCTAGGTTTGTCAGGTTGTCCCAAACTGTCCCCTGAGCCCAGGCTACAACCTGCTCCCAAAAACCTTATCCAAGTCTTGGGACACTTCAGCCCTACCAAAGCACCATGTGTCTGCTCCCGTGTCCCTGCTGCAGGACCTGAGATACATCTTCATCCCCTCGGACGTGCGCGACTATGTCATGCTGAAGTCGGCCATTGAGGGCAGCCCGGTCCCCGAGGGCTTGGACAAGGGTGACGAGTGAGTATCTCCCTGGTGTCTCTGCACCCATCTTTGGGCCTTGAGGCTGGTGTGGCTCCGGACTGCTGCTGTCCGTGCACCTTGGGGATCCATGGGGATCACCTGCAGGATGGGGTGCTCCTCCTAGCCCTGCTCCTTCGTCAGGGCACTGCAGGAGTGTGACTCAACTGCCGTCACCCAGGAAGCTGGGATGCGGAAAGGACTTGTCAACCTGGAAGCAAGTTCAGGGCAAAGCTGCTTCTCTGCCTCTTTTTCCCTCTCAGAGACTGTTGGTGTTTCCGAGACTTTGCAACACAAACCGAAGCTCAGAGCGGAGCATGTTGAGTCACATTTGGTACTCTCGTGCTGCCTGGCTCCCTCAGCTGACACATTTGGTGGCCTTGAGGGGTAAATCCCAAGTGGCCTCAGGATTTCTGTGACATGAATTCTGTGGTTTTTTTTTTTTTTTTCCATCTGCCTGCTGCAGGCCACAGAAGTATTTTGGACCAGAGGCATCTGCAAAGAAGTTCAAGCTGCTGCATCCAGATTTCCTGCATTATCTAACAACAAGGTAAAAGTGAGGCCTGCAGGCTCCTCTTGACTCGGCTCTGCCCGGGGCTGCTCCCCGCTCAGCCCCTTGTCACCCAAATCACTCGATTCCCAGCCCTTCTCTTTTCTATGTGATCGTGGTGCTGCTCCCCATCACCAGTCCAACCTAGCAACTGGAACTGCCTCTGCCCTGTTCTCTGTGGCAAAAGCCAAGAGATTCCCTCCGTGCCACTGCATTTCTGCATCGTCGCTGCTTCCTCCTAACCCTTGCCTTTGCTGCCCCCAAATTAGTTGGCCTAGTCTAACAGGGGCAAAGGTAGGGACCAACAGGATCATCTTTTTCTGTGTTTCATGAAAATATGTGCCTGGGTCAGGGTGACTGAGAGCAGTGGGGAGATGCCCTTCTAGCACCCCGCAGAGGATGAGCTGAACCCTAGTAGCAGGCATTGGAGAATCCACGAGCCACGAACGCCACGAGAGGCTGCATTTCAGCGGCTGCTCCTACCTAATCAGACACCAGGGACTCCAAGCGCCTGATGCACCCTGGAAGGACAAGGGCTTTGAGGCTGTAGGGCTTGGGGACCTTGTGGTGGCTGGGGAGGGCTCGCTAACCTGCCGCCTTTGTGCCAGGTTCTTGAGGTCCGAAATCATGAACACCCAGTACAGCTACCTGTACATGCCCAGCACCGGGGCGCTCATGCTCCTCACTGCGCTCCACACCTGTGACCAGGTAAGAGGCCGTGGGGCTACCTGCCCCCGGCACCTGGTGGGGGGTGGCCCATCTGCCCTGGGGCAGAGCTTGGTGAGGGTTACCCTGCCCTTCTGGGGCTTCTGATGGGGATGAGCAGGTCCTGGTGGAGCTCACTGGGTGCTGTCCTACATGTTTAGCAACCCCAGTCTCTACTGCCATCCCCTGCCCATCTGTTTGATCACCCTCCCCGCAGGTCAGTGCCTACGGGTTCATCACTGACAACTACGAGGAGTTCTCAGACCACTACTATGAGCCGGAGAAGAAACCGCTGCTGTTTTACGCCAACCATGACATGATGCTGGAGGCAGAGCTGTGGAAGCGCCTGCATCAAGCAGGGATCATGACGCTTTACCAGCGGTGAGGCAGGGCAGCAGCCGCAGGACTCTAGTAGTGCCACGATGTGGTTCTTCCCTTTCCTGAAGACCCCCTTCTCCTTCCTGAGGCCCTCCAGGACACTAGGGTAGCTGCAGAGGAGCAGCTCTTCTACACTTACGCTACTGCCGCGTGTAGTGGTGGTGGTGAGCGGCCGGCCAGCGGGGTTAGGAAAATGCTGCAACGTTTCCTCGGGGCTCTGCAGGAACTCGTTTTGTGGCTTAGTGCAGCTGAAATGTGGCCCCAAGCAGCACCACAGCGTGTGGCCAGGACCTCCCGGGCCACAAGCACCTCTGGGAGGTGGCAGCAGCCCCTGGGAAGGACTGAGCTCGGCTGCCAGGAAGACAGTGGAAGAGGACACTGGAGACGCAGGGGTGTGACAGTCCCATTTTTTAATTTTTTGGGGCCTTTCCTGGAGATTTACTGCCTGTTTTCTACGAGTGTGGAGAACCCCCTGCTGGTCCTCTCCCTTTCTATCACACGCCAGGATCCATCAGTCCATGTGCTCCTCACCAGAGCCAGATCATGATGGGCACGAACCTTAAACTGTCCAACCAGAACGGCGCTGTGTTGGGAGGACACCTCTCTTGGACTGCATGGAGCTGCCACAAACCTCTGGATTGTTGTGTGTGTCTTTCCAGAAGGATCCTTCTGCCTCCATCACCAGAAGACTGCAGAGGTTTTGCTGCCCTCTCCTGTGACAGTTATAAGAATGTAGCTCTGCAGCTCTCTTCCCTTTTTATATTTTGGTGTTGGTCAAGGCAATGAAGGGTCTTTAAAAAACAGAAAATATCCATGAGGTAAGACTAGGTTTATTGCAAATGGAGCTTCAGAAAAAAGAGGATGAGCCTAGTACTCCCTCAGTTTTTGCACTGGGATCATGCAAGGCCCTCCACATGCTTTAAGAAGGCAGCTCTCCCTGTAGCAGATGGATTAGGGGAGCAACAGTTCACAGTGCAAGTCTAAGCTGTCATCAGTCTCCCAAAAAAAGGAAAAAAAAAGTTATCTTAGGGAAAAAGGTCTAGAAACCCTCAGGCATCTGCTGCCAGTGCTGCGTCGCGCGGAAGCCCAGGATGCTGCTTCAGCCGTGGGTGGCTGGGGGTGGCACCACACAGCCATTGGAAACGTTTTCCCACTTTGTATAGTTGCATAAATGTTGAACAACTGCTTTCTTTTATGCCGGTGTTGGTTGTTTTGGTGAATGGGGGGCCAGCCCTTCTCCCCGTGGAAAGGCCGCAGTGCCCAGGAGCGTGGCAGCCCTGAGGGGGCAGCTGTAGGACGGGAGCAGGGCTAAACCCGCAGCCCGTCCCAGCCTCGTGCACCCAGCAGGCCTTTGTCACTGCTGACAAAGGAGCCCGTCCCAAGCCAGAGGACCCCTGTGACAACTTGCCCAGGCTGGTTTCAGCACCGTAGTTCTCATTCTGGATGCTAGCTGCTGGCAGCTGGGGCAAAGCAGGTAACTGCTGAGATGGTAGCAGATAAGAGAGCCTGGCCATTAACCAAAAAAAGCCCTTCAAGCTTCACTCTTCCAGGCAGCAGGCTGAATTCAGCCACTTTTAAAGTGTGTCCAAAGGACCTTTGGGTGTCATACCTAAGGGGGAGACCATCTCAGGTGAGTCTCACATTAACCTTTGTTCCCATCAGAGACATTTTACAGTGGCATCAAGCCTGCCAGTTAGGCCCGTTCTGGCACAGCAGCACCTCGGCAGCCATGGTGTCTTCCACAAGAATGAGCCTGGTTCTCACTTCACCTGACCATGACGGCACCACAAGCTCCCCAAGCAGTTCCCCCAAACGCCAGCACAGCCCCGTGGGTGGCTTTGTCAGCTGCACCCTGACATACGCAACAAACAGCCCTGCTTTTGTAGATGTCGTCACTGCCCCGCGGCCTGCCAGGAACCCCGTCCAGGTCCACCTGCCGAGAGGCTGGGCTGCAGAATCGGAAGCTTTTCCACTCCCAGACCCACCTTGCCTATTTAAAACAGGGAGGCTTTCCAGCCAGTGGAGCAGTCTGGCACAGGAGTTAGGCACCTCTATTTTTAATCAACAGATAAGGAATCTGATGGCTCCTGCCTCCCACTTTCTCCTTATCTGGGCTTGCAGGCACTTTCATTAGCCCTAAGCTTAGTCATACCTTCTTTTGTCAATGTAAAGGCACCTTCTTGCAGCGCTCCCATGAACTGCTGATAGCCCTGTGCCCATTCCCCTCCGGAGGCACTGAGGTTTGAAGGCTCTTCAGCCATCTCAGAGAAGGCTGCGTGATGAAGGATGAGCTTCCAGGCGCCTGAATTCCAGCAACCATTTCAAACTGAAATCCCTTCTGACTGCTCCAAACCACTTCTGTTTGGGCAGATGTTCTTAACAAGAAATTTCAACTCCCAACATGTTTCAATAATTCACTTTATTCTGGAACAGAAGAGAATAGGAACGGCTCTTTCCTCCAGGCAGCTGTAGCCCAGACCCTAGTGGAAGAGACAGTGTCAGACCAAAGGCAAGTCAGTTAAAAAGCACCTCCTCTTATTTATTATTTAATCAAGAGGTCTCAGAAGACTGAGAAGCTTAGGAGATGTTGGGACCAGCCAGCAGAAGATCTCACATTGAACATGAAGAGTTTGCTCTTCCCCACATTATGCCTCACTAGTACCAGGGGTCATAGCTTTTACTTTCCTCTTTGTCACCATGGTGTTTCTTCACTTCTGTGCCCCCTCCCTTGCTCCCGGGAAGCCCAGGGAGCACCAACCGGCTCTTCCCGCTGACTTGTCTCACTTGGAACAAATCCATATTGACAGAGCAATGACCACATGTGCTTCAGAATCATCCCCTCCCCTTTTACACACCAGCCTTGATTTCCCAAGAAGGTCCCTTGTTGTCAGATCTGCAGTTCAGGTCATCAGTAAACGTCACTGGCGTTCAGCAAACAAATGAAAATCCTGTAAAACGAAAGAAGGGTTGACCGTGGAGGAATCCGCATGTCACCACCTGCAGCTACTGCGTCCTGAATGTGTGTTCAGCAACTATAAATCAGGGGTGCATTTCCTACCTGCCCTCCAAGGTGTCACTGTGCAAACTGTTTGGGCAAGCAACCGAAAAACAAATCTCTGAGGACCTAGAAGTAAAACCACACATTGAACTCTCTGCACTGAGCCTTGCTGTATGGGGAAGAAATTGCTGAAGCCTCAGTACAGTTATTTCTCCCTCACAGCTGAGCTGTCAGACAGGGATAACAGCACATCACTGGCTCAGTTTCTCTCCTGCCACTTAAACTCCTCAAGTTTTACAGAGTTAAATAAAGTCAAGACACAGATATGTCAACAGTGATTAGGATTTTCCCCAGAAATGTCCAAAGATAAGGTACTGGTGAGCAATAGATGAGTCAGGCCTAGAGCTCTGGCATACGACAGACGCAGAGCGAGCAGCTCCCTATACTCAAGAATTCCCTCATCAGTTTGCAGGTTATCTTAGCAGCTACTTGCTCTTTGGGAGAAGACACAAGCCAGAGAATTTAAAGGATGTTTGTCTCCTGGGTGTAAGTTGTATTAGATACTACTATAGCAGTCCTTCAAGCAGAGTTTGCCCACCTGCTCTGATAAAAACAGCACTGAGGCACAAAGCAAGAATTAAAGAAAGGAATGTGGATGCTCTTCCAATCTTCACTTAGGGAAAAAAGCACCAGCCTTGGGACTTTGGTGGTTTAGACCCTTTTTAGCTGTTCCAAGCAGACATCCCTTGGCATCATAACTCAGCAGCATCTTAATGCAAAACTCACCCTACAACCAAGAATAATTCATTTGTGTGGGAGTAAAGTAGCTAAGATTTACTTAGAGAAGTGCATTTGAGCAGGCTTAAGACAGACATATCATTCAAGGAGGGTGTCCTCTCTAGGATCCCCTTTTGGTGAACTTAAGCTGCACCCCCCCAGCTCCAGCAACCTGATGCAAATTTAAAATTGCCCCAGCAAGGTGAACCCACAGACCAATTATTCTTTCATTAGGCCAATTTCCATGACAAGAACACTTCTGAAATGAGCTGTGTCAAGTATCTCCATAATGGGGTGTCATCCAATCCTTCCTCCCTCTAATCCCCTCTGCTTTTTTCTCATCTTTGACCGTGCTGACAACCAGGTGCTCTACTGGGCAAGAGCTACATTAGAATTCCCATTCATTCTATGCTGCCTTTCAGCCTGGGCTTCGTGACAGCAAAAGGATAAACACCCAGGTGGCAGCTGCAACAAAGCTGCAGCCTTGATTGGCTTAATTACATTAATCAAGTCATTGGGCTTTTATATCTGCTCCCGGGAGCTCCAGGGACTGGGAGGGTATCATCTGACAGAATGGAACAAATTTTGCTCCCAAAGTCCAGCAGCAGGGACAAATACAAGGCTGATGCCCAGCAGATTATGGTGTTTCTCACCATTGTGCAGCTGGTAAGGCTGATGTTAGTCCAGTGAGGTCATCGGCCCAGCTCAGGTTCCCAGGAAGGCGAGTGCCAGAAACTCTTTCAGCCTTGCTTGGCCACGTGCTGTGCTCTGAAACAGAGGAAGGGGATGGAGTTAAGTCGTGCCACAAGCTGCTCTTTTTACCTTGGAGTGCTTAGTGCTGAGCCTCAGATTCGTGCTTCCACAGGGGAAAGTTTGGTTTCGGACAGGGATAACATATCATCACTCGCTCAGCTGGTGGTGCGGCTGGAGCCTGGGCCCCCAGCACCACCTGCACCCACAAAGCCCGGGCC